ATATACTTTTGCTCCGAGTGCTATTTCTCAAGCTTTCTTGAATATTCCATTTTCTTAATATTGGTCGTAGTTTTTGAGCTAGTTTACAGGAGAGGAGACATCCACTTTTGTGAGTCTTTCTCCATCTTTATCTTTCTTTCATAATCTTCGTCCTGCTATCGGCTTTTCACGACCAGTATGCTTCTTTGAATTACTTCTCTCGGATATGCATTACCGAGGAATATCCTAATCAATTCTTCCAATTCTTCATCCCAGAATTCCACGTCCATTGATCGTAGGCTTCTGATGATCATGCTCCTCAATGGGCCTATTTTTATTCTGTAGTTGTGACGAGATTAGAAATTGAGTATTATTCCGGCATATGACTTCTTTAGGAGCAATTTCCTCTTGAGTGTCCCAGTAGAGCGAATAGCCTCCACATCTAGGAAGGATCGAGAAGTAGATATCCTAGAAGCAGAGAGTATCAGAAGTGAGTCGTTTATACGATTAATCAACTTGACAATTAGTACTACCTACTTCACATGCAATGGCGACATCTATGAGCAGACATTTGGACTTTTTATGGCATCACCTCTCTCACCTCTATTGGCAAATGTAGATATGGGCAAATTTAGAAGAGAATTTCTAGGTGTCACCGCTGTAACAAAGGGTTCTTATGCGGTACCTGGATGACTACTTTGCAATATGGCGCATGGAAGTTAAAATTTGGGGGGTTTCCTGAAGTTTATGAACTGGGTTGATGAAAGAATCAAATTCGCAATGGGTGTAGAGGCAGAGGGGCGTTTAGCTTTCCTGGATGTGGAGGTTATTCTTTCTACTGGGACACTCCAGAGGAAATTTGTTTGAAAGAGATCATATGCCGGAATAATATTCAATTTTGAGTCGCATCACAACCACATAATGAAGACAGGAAAACTGAGGAATATGATCTTCAAAAGCACACGATTAACAGACGTGGAATTCTCGGGTGAAGAATAGGAAAAATTGACTTTTATATCCCTTTTTAATGGATACATGAGAGAAGTAATAGAAAGAAACATACTGGACGTGAAGAACTGATGGCAGGACGGAGATAATGAAAGAAAGAAAAAGATGGAGAAAGACTCACAAAAGTGGATATGTCTCCCTTCCTGTGAACTAGTTCAAAAGTACAGCCAATATTAAGAAAATGGAATATTCAGGTGATGACGGAGGAATAAACAACACTCTTCACAACGCAGCGTGAGAGAGTAGATAAATTGGATTGCTCAGAAGTTTAATGCATAGTCTGCGGCGTCTGTGAACAGAAATACATTGGCGGAACTGCGATAAAAATCGACATGCAGATCAAGGAACATCAAATGCTTTGTAGGAAAATGGTAGGTAACAGAAAGAAAGGCCTTATACAGTGATAACACAAAGAAACGAAAGATTAGGGAGGCCATTGATATTCTAGCTGGAAAAAATTTAATGAACATGAGATTAGAAGAAGGCAGAGTTAGTGATAACTTCGCCTAGTGCCTAATCAAACTCTGCAAAAACAGGGATTTAACAAG